TTTTTTTCCTTTTCCCTCCTTTTTAGTCGGCTGCCATATGTATTCCCGGATTGGGTCTGGCCCTCACCCCAGGAGTGTATGTATGTAGTAGCTTCCCGTGTCCTTTTTGCATTTTAAAGCTCCCTTGGCAGACTCCTATTGTCCTTGTCCTTTTGTGCCAGGCTTACCTGGTCAGCATGATTTCCTCCAGTGCTAAGACAGGGAGCCTTCACGCCCCTCCTCACATACAGGCTTCACAACAGGACTCCATCCCCAATATCCCCCTAACCTTCCTCTCCACCTGAAGGTATCTGCCTGCTTATAATCCCTGTTCTGAACTATATGAGGGTAAGTTTCACACCGTGTGGCCCTTTACCCAAAACTAAATACCACTGTTTCCTTTAAAAAAAAAGAAAGGAATGTTGTCTTCGATGATCACAGTACATTCTCAACGTCAGTAAGTTTAGCATCTAATGTACCCTGGGGGTCCAGAGGACCCCAGCTTGTCTTTTAAGACATGTTCCCTTCCGGTACAGGGTCCCATGTAGGGTCAGTCTGTGCCTCTTTCTGAGAGCAGAGAGCTGACTTGTAAGTGGGGGAGCCCAGGACCACCTCTCTGTTTGCAGAGCTACTAAACTGCGTGCACAAAGCCCCGTGAACCGCTGGCTCAGATTGCCTGCTCTTTCTGCGTTGCCAGAGGTGACGTGGACACTCTATGCCCACACCCAGTGCAGCTGCCTGCCTGCCTGCCTTCAAAGCACGGTCTGAGGGCACCCTGCAGCGCTGCACCGACCTGACTGGGCAGGGTCTCAGCGACGCCACACAGAAGTGCAGTGGTCACTGCAGGGAGGAGAGGCTGCTGGGTGCCTACTTCAGTGTTCTCTCTCAAAGAATCCTGAGGTTGGTGGTGCTGGAAGGCCAAGAACTGCGTCTCGTGTTCACCTTGCAGCCAGCCCCTTGCCCTGCAGCACCCTTAAGCATCTGCTGGAGGAATGCCCTGGGCCTCCTCCTCACCTATCTCACTTGACGTAGCAATCACCAATGGAACATTCTGCTGGTGGGCTCAGGACCCCGAGGGTGGGTGGTAGATGTGGAGTGGCACCTGCCTGGGCCCTGGTTCCTGCCCTGCCTGGACCATGTGGGACGGCCTAGACACATCCCATCCTGCCGCATTCTCGAGGTCTGTAAAGTGAGCCGGACGGATGCTAACAGCTGTGATGGACGTGCTGCTGCCCTGAGACTCCAGGAATCCAAAGTCTGTCAGTGGAGTTGGAAATCTTAGCTTCCGGGCCTCATGGCATGGGCTCGGGGACCCAGGTGGTCCTCCCAAAACTACACAGAAATTCTCAGCAGGGACAGGGACAGGGAGGGAAATGCCCTCTGATAGAGCATACAATCAGCACGGATGCCAAGGCGGGCTACTCCGCGGGCTTTGGCCTATGTAGAAGACAGGTGGTCACAGCCGCACTCTAATTCAAGAACAAGGCCACAAGCCCAGAAGTAAACCATGCCCACACGACAGTCGCTGCACCTCATCGCCCTTCGCCTGCCTCTGGCATGGCCTGACCCGCGTTCTGTCTGTGCGGGTGCCTCCTCAGAGCAGCTCATGCCCATGCAGGCCCTGCAGTGTGTGCCCTTCGTGCCTGACTCAGCACTATGGGTTCAAGGTGCCTCCACCCATCTTATAGCCTATGTCAGCAATCCTGTTTTCCTTACACCCCAGCCTTGACCGATTTGCAGAAGTAGCTCACCAGGCCTTTCTTCTTAGTCTGTCTTAGTTAGGAAGTGCCCCAGAAGGGTGCCCAGCATCCCAGCCACACACAGGCCTCCAGGGGTGAACCGGCTGGAACTCAAACCCAAGTCATCCCGCCCCCATGGGAGACCTCAGTAAACGCTGCCGCTGACCCACCACCTCTCTCCATTTCTTTTCATAGCTGGATCATATTTCCCTGTTAGGGTAGACCGTATTTTTTTATCCGTTCATCTGTTGAATGTTGGGGTTGCTTCCACTTTGGGGCTATGAGCATCCAAGTTTTTGTGTGGGGATGAGTTCTCAGTTCTCTGGGGTCTATTTGAGGGGTGTGTTAGTCCAGGTGGACTAGAGAAACAAATCCAGAGGCACGCAAATGTCTTTGAGAACTTTATGTCAAAGAGTTATTGTATATTAAGAAACATCCCAGCCCAGTCCAGATCAAGTCCATAAGTCCAATATTAGCCCTTATGTCCAATACCAGTCTATAAATTCCTCTTCAAACTCACACAACCCATGCAATGGTGCTGCATGCAGGAAGATCACAGGCCAGGGGGTGGGAAGTCTTGTGGATCCAGTGGCAGTGGAAGCATCTCGGTGCTGGTGTGGGTCTCCACATGGCTCCTCCAGCTCCAGGCCTCTGGCTCCATCAGTGTAACTCCATGTCAACAGGAAGACGAAGCAGAAAAGAGTGGTCCAGTGAGCTATTTATCTCCATCACGCCTCCAAATGGCGTCATCAAACTGCGACCTGATTGACAGGCTAAACACCCTTTCACTCTTACTAGTCTCAAGTTGACAACAGATTATGTAACTACCACAAGGGACTTTAAAAAAGTTCATGGTAAAATGGAATTAAAAGACAATGGAATTTTCCCATGAACTCTTTGAAGCCCCTCCGCCCTTAAGGCCGCTGGCTTGCTGGGGCATGTGGTTACTGGTGTTGAACCTTTTGAGGAACTGCCTGATGGCTTTCCACAGCAGCTACACCATCTTGCACGCCCATCAGCAGACTGTGCCTTTTACTGAGCACCTACTATGTGCTCAAACCTTGGTGGCCCAATGGTTACAGCATCTGACTGCTACCCAGAAGGTCGGCAGTCCAAACCCCCCAGCCATTCCACAGGAGAAAACCTGGCTGTCCGTGTTCACAAAGATTGACAGACTGAAAACCCTAGAGCCATGGTGCTCAGCCTTCCTCATGCTGCAGGCCTTTCAGACAGTTCCTCATGTGGTGGGGACCCCCCAGCCATAAAGTTATTTTCATTGCTACTTCATCACTGTCATTTTACTACTCTTATGAACCGGGCAACCCCTGTGAAAGGGTCGTTCAACCCCCAAAGGGGTCAAGACCCACTGGTTGAGAACCGCTGCCCTAGAGGGTTGCTATTATTAGGTTTCTCCCGTAGGAGATACCTTGATTCTTGGGTTTGCATGAGAATGAATTCACGCTGAAGCCTGGTTTGTGATCCAAGTGAGTTTTCACAACGGACGGAAGCAGTTTCAGGTTTTACAGTCTTAAGAGTACACGTTATTATAGGAAAGCATGCCAAACGGTGCCTAAACTGTGCCAGGGCTCACCACTGAACACAGGCAACCTCGTGGGACTGCACGACCACACGTGGTAGCCTGAGGCCAGAGAGACCACAGTATGGCCCAGTGGGCGCAGGACCGGGGTCGAAGAGCGAAGATTTAAAAAGGTAGGGGCGGGGGCAGTCCCACAGTCAGGGTGTTTGCGGCCTCGGGCTGGGAGTCGTCAAAGGTATTGGCTGACCCCATTGGCTGAATGAAACCCACCTGGGCCCACTTTGGGCCACCCAGGTGTACCTCGGGCTTGATTTGGCGTATGCTCAGTAGTCTTTATGATTGGCTAAGGCTCGTCTGATCCTCCTCCAACCTCCTGTAGTGGGCCTTCAGGCGTGGGGAGGGACAACCCTCCGTCCCTGTTCCTTGCTCCCTCGCACTGTGAGACAGAATTGAACCGACAGCCGTGAGTTTTTACCAGGTTCATGTGCCGGCACAGAACTAGCCGAGGACCGCCGATGGCGGTGTCGTTGTAGGTGCCTTCAAGTCGGCGCTGACCCACCGCGACCTTGAGCACAACAGAATGAAACGCTGCCCGCATCATCCTCGCGTGCTCCTGTGCCTGAGCCCATTGTTGCAGCCACGGGGTCCGTCCATCTCCTTAAGGCCCTTCCTCTTTTTCACTGCCCCTCAGCTTCACCAAGCATGATGTCCTTCTCTGGGGACCAGATGAAGGTTCCCCATCCCTGCCTCTAAGACACACTCACCGATCGATTTGTCCCTGGTGGTGCAGTGGGCAGCACACTGAGCTGCTAATCACAAGGTCAGCAGGTTGAACCCGCCAGTTGGTCCGTGGGAGAAAGATGAGGCTGTCTGCTCCCGTAGAGATTTGTGGTCTTGGGAACCCAAAGGGGCAGCTCTACATGATCCTATAGGGTTGCTGTGGAGTTAACATTGCTGACAGGCTGGCTGACTTAGAAGCTGAACTTGGAATCAGTCCCCGCACTACCCTCTGGCCACTGTTTTGCAGACAGGAAAGTTGGACCCTCACTACCCCAAGGTCTGTGGACACAGAGGAAACGTCTTAGACATCAAGTGGAACCCTTTTAATGATTTCGAGATTGCCTCCTGTTCTGAAGATGCGACGGTGAGTGCACGGGTGGGGTGGGGGTGGCGTCTGTGCTCGCCCGGCTCCTTCCCTGCTGATGAGGCCCCATGGGGGGTTGTGGTAACAAGCTGAGGAGGGAAAGGTCTGGACCCTGGGGGCCTCGGGAGCACCGCCCTCCTTTCCACGGGCCCGTTTCTCCACCTGTAAGATTCGTGTGACAGCTCCCACCTGTTATGAAGATCCATGAGGCTCCTATTCCAGTGGGAAAGCCCACCCTTTGGAGGAACATTTTGATGGCGGCCACTTAGTCTCACAGAACACGGGCAAGGTGCTTCAGGAGGGTAGGAGTGGCGCCCTATATGAGTACAGCCGCCAAACCCAACCCAAACCTTCACAAGACAGGTTCGGGAACTGTTATGCATCTTGTATGGGTGGAGACACTGAGGTCTGTAGAAAAGAAGGGTGATAACCCCCAAGTCCCCGGAGTCCCTAACTTTCCCTCCTCGGTTGATAGTCCCTGCCCCCACTGAGTTCCCTGTTAAGTATTTACCATTTACTCTCTGTGTGAAGGGTTGGTTTAAAACAAGGGCTTACAGATAGGATCGGCAATTTCAAACCCAGGTAAAAGTCACAGTTACCACGTATGGTGAGCCTGCAGTGTTTCTGACTCCTGTGTACCCTACCGCTCAGCAGCCCCACACGGGAGGGTGATCTTCTGACGGAGAAGCCAAGAATCAGAGAGACTCACCAGTTTGCCCATGGTCACAGAGTGTGAGGCAGACCGAGCCGGGCTTTAGACCGAGGCCCGTCTGACTCCAAAGGCCATTGCCGTCCCACTTCTCAAAAGCGCAAGAGCCACAGCTGGAGAAACGTGTGGCAATAGTAGCAGAAGCATGGACCGAGGAGGGCTGCGGTGGCGGGAGAACTCTGAGCTGCCTGGCAGCCAAAGCAAAGAGGGAAATACACAGAAAGTACATTGCAGGACCCTCTCTCTGATCAGTTCATCAGGAGAGGCAGGCGGAAAATCCTAACAGGGGGCTGCTGAGGGACATAAAGAACAGTGCCTGCCCAGGTGGTTTCACCCGAGGCAATCAGGCCCTATAAGACGTGGCCTTGTCGCCGATGAGTGCAGACCTGCTGACCAGATATCAGACGCCGGCATGTCCCCACGGCTGCAGCTCCTGCGCTTTCACAGTCTCTGAACCAAAGCAAACCGGCTAACTCCTTGCCACGGGGTGGCCTCTAGCTCACGACAGCCCTGTAGGACAGAGTAGAACGGCCCTGCTGGGCTTCTGAGGCTGCCAGTCTTCACAGGAGCAGAGAGCCGCCTCCTCTTTCTCCCCTGGAGCGGCTGATGGATTTGAAACGCAGCCCTTGTGGTTAGCCCAAATGATCACCCGCTCCTCATCAGAGCTCTTTGGAGAATCCCTTAAAGGTCTTTCCAAATCCTTACCTGGCCCCAGGGTTTTTGGCTGTCTGGCCCAACCCCCCAGTGGCAGTGGGGAATGGGCATGATTGTTGGGACTGGCAGTGCCTTTCTGCCCCCAGCAGGGGCGCCAGAATGAATTCAGACCCATGGGAACCAAGTGCTGGCAGTCTCCTCCTTGCTCCCCCCACCCCTACCCGGCCCCCGTGGGAGGAGGGATGGATGGCTCTCCGGGTGAGTGGCCAGTCCTGGCTGCTGCTATGCCCAGATGGTGCCCCCACTCCCAGAGAGGCCCACCGAGCGTCTGCCCTCCTGCCAGGTCCGGTTCTTGCAGTCACCGCCCTCCCCCACCACCCTGGCACTCCCTCAAGGCTTCTTAGTGGTAACTCCGAGCTGACCAGGAAATAAATATTTGCGGATAGACGTGAAACAGAGTCTACATGAAAACCCCGTGCCTTTCCAGATAGGAACACGCAAGGGCCTGCGTGCCCTGTCGGACACTGAGGAGCTCCGGCCAGCACCCTCTGGCCTCCGTTTTCCTCTGCGGCAGACACCCCCAGTGCTACCATGTGTGGACGCCGTGAGCGGGGCCCACGTGCTGCCCTGGCAGCCCTGCTGTCCTGCCACACTGTTAGCCGCCATGCCTTTTGACTGAACCGAGGTCCACCTGCCCGGGCTTCCTAGGGCTGCAGTCTGGAAGGACGCCCCAGCCTTAGCCCTTCGATAAGCCCCAGTCAGTTTCTTCTCCTGGCCTTTGGTTCCCCCCTTCCAGGCAAGCCAATCAAGGGCTCCTCCAAAGCACGGATCTTGCTTCTGCTCGGTCCTAACCCAGAACTTCCACTGGCTCCCTGGTTCCCTGAGGGTGCAACACAGACATGTCGTCGAGGCTCCACCCTGGGTCTTTGGACTTGGATTGGGCAGACCACTGCACTTTAGGGGGACTTCTAGACTGGGGGACAGAGGTGCTGAGATGACTTCTCTTGGCCCCACACCTGTCCCTGCTGGGGGTGGGGTGAGGGTTGAGGGGATTGGTGAAGCCCTGGACCCTCCGAGGGTCCCTGAGTGGAATGTGGTGAGGCAGAGCGTTCCCCCGGGGCCCTGTCTCTGAGCTGAGCACAGTCCACTCCGTGGTTCACGCTCCCCACCCTGTCTCGTTGCCAGATTAAGATCTGGAGCATCCCAAAACAGCTGCTAAGCAGGAACCTCACAGCCTTCAGGAAGGAGCTGGTGGGCCACTCCCGCAGGGTGGGCCTGGTGGAATGGCACCCCACAGCCGCCAGCATCCTCTTCAGCTCTGGCTACGACTACAAGGTGGGTCTGCCTGGAGGAGGTAGGCTGGGCTTGGCCCAGAGAAGCCCCTTGCTCCCAAGTCCTTGGTCCCCTCCTGGCTGTGCAACCTGGGTGAGTCCCTTGCCTCCTCTGTTTCCCAAGCTGTACACAAGTGGGGCTGGTGGGTCCATAGCCAGGCTCTTTAGCCTTTGCCTGGGGGTTACGGCGGAAGTGCGAAGCCTCCGATGGATAAAAGAGCGGGGGCGATGGGTTGAGGGGCTCTAGAGTGGGGGTGATGGAGTTGAGGGGCTCTGGGTTTCTACCTCCTGGTCAGAAGTTGTCTCTTAGGCTCCTTCTGTAGGTGTGATTCTGGGGGCAGTGGGCATGGATTGCCTGCAAACCGAACAACCTCGCTGCCGTCAGTCTGCTGACTCACAGCGACCCCCTGTGGGTTTCCGAGACTAACTGTGAACGGAGTACAGCGCGCCCTCCCTCGCAGGTGCTGGTGGTTTCAAACCGCAGCCCTTGAGGATCGCAGCCCCATGCGTAACCACTACACCACCAGAGTCCGTGGCCTTGTGGATCTGTGGGACATAGAAGCTGCTGCTAATCAGTCTGAAACTCCCTGGGTTCCCTGGTCCCGGGTCCCTCCCCACCGGCATGTTTTGTTGCTCCAAGGCAAATGGTGTTTTCCTTTCACTGCCAGACTGACTCTCGGAGTCCCCCGCTCCCACACGGCAGCTCCAGCTGCTGGCCCAGCCACCAACACACACACACACACACACACACACACACACACACACCCGCCCCCAGGGTGCCACCTGCAGCTCCCCTCCAGGGATACCGAGTTTCACCGGGGCCTGGGCAGCAGCGGCGAGGGGCTGCTCTGTTCAGCCGGCTCTTTGCTACACACGCAGGTGATGGTCTGGAGCCTGGACACTTCGGACTCTGTCATCATGGGCCCCGTGAGGACCATCGAATGCCACCAGGATGTCATCCTCTCAATGTCCTTCAACACCAACGGCAGCCTGCTGGCCACCACCTGCAAGGACCGCAAGATTCGCATCCTCGACCCTCGCAGGGGGGCTGTGGTGCAGGTTGGTGCTGGGCTCGGAAGCACCTGGTGCAGAGTGAGGATGGGGCGAGCTGGTGGGGGGCGAGGCGGGAGCTTCTGAGACCCGCCTCCACTCTCGGTATCTCCTTCTGATGCCCAGCATCCTTGGGAGGGAAGATGGCCCTGTTATCCAGATGAAGCAACAGAGGCCAGAGAGAGGGACGTGGAAGTCCAACCTGGTCTGACCCTGACACATGGGTTCACCTCAGCTGTCACTGGCCATGGGGACGGGGTGCTGTTCCCCCACCCTGTGACCTTCGGGAAGGGCTTTCTGCCCTCCAAGCCTCTGCCTCCTGGCCCACAACTGTGGATTAAATGCAGTGTAACACAAATGGCACTGCCCATCCACCCTGGCCCACCACCACCACAGGGTAGGGGTACAGCACATGCCCAGAAAGAGCCTGGGACTGGGCAGAAGTCTGCCTCACCCATCAAAAACGCAGACTCGCTCCCATGGTGTCGATGCCGACTCATGGTGTCTCTACGAGTTTCCGAGGCCGTAACCCTTTAACAGGAGTAGAGAGTCTCCTTTTTCTCCCAAGGTGGTGGTTTCAAACTGCGGCCCTTTCAGATCACAGCCCAACTCCCATCCACTACGCCACCCCTCAGTCAACACCGGAGCGAGGCGCTCTGTGCATGAAGGCTCCTAGAGGTGGGCCCTCGGGCCTGGGCTAAGAAAGGAGGGCATTTCCAGAGGCACAGCAGGCCAGGGAGGCTGGAAGGCCCTCTCGTGTCTACCTGCCACCAACCACACGTGTCCTCCCAGGAAGCCAGCTACAAGGGGCACCGGGCCAACAAGGTGCTGTTCCTGGGGAACCTGGGGAAGCTGCTGTCCACCGGCACGTCCCGATGGAACAACCGGCAGATGGCCCTATGGGATCAGGTGAGCCCCCCTCTCAGCTCTTCATTCCTTCCTCCCTCAAACACCGCCAGCTGCAGGAGGGTGGGGGGGCCTGGCACGAAGCCCAGGGAGATGCTAGCAGCCACACCAGGAGCGAGCTGGTCTGGTCTTGGGAGAGAGGACAAGGGGCTGAATGTGGGGCCAGGACTGGGGCTGGTGGGGACAGAGAGGTCCTTTGGGACAAAGGGAGCAACGTAGGGATGAAACACAGGGGGGTGGGCAGGAAGCACTTGTCATTCCGAGTGGCCATGGGAGAGGAGGTGGCTGAGTGGGCAGTGGGGATGGGAGGGCGCTAAGGGCCAGGCCAAGCAGCTTGGGTTTGAAGGCGTACTTGGCATGAGTTTCAGAAACTGGGCAAATCACTCCCCTTTTTGGAGTTTCCTTCATCTCCTAAAAGAAATCAAAGACGGGCAAGGAGGGAGCAGCATGGGGTGAAGTGTCTGAAAAGTAGCTTGCTGATAGCAGACTAGGACGTGCAAATGTGTTTAAAAATGTCTCCATGTGAGGGCAGCCCTGGGATTGGACCTCAGCAATCTGGGGAGGGTACGCCCTAGGCCCCACGCTCTCTCACATACAATCTCAATCTTTCTCGCTCTCTCACACTCACAAGCTCTCACACACACTAACTCAGCCTTTCTCACATATACACACTAATTCCATCGTGTGTGTGTGTGTGTGTGTGTGTGTGTGTGTGTGTGTGTTAGGCAGAGTTCTCTAGGGAAACAAAACCAGGGCCCTTATGTATGTGTGTGTGTGTATACTTATACAGTGAGAAAGAACATAACAGCTAATTAGTCCACATAGCAGTACAGAGGGCTCAGTTCAACTCACTTCATGGAACAGTTAATACACTGGAAGTCCTTCAACTCTCGTGAGTTCCCAGGTCCAAGGTCAAAGAAGCAGACAGCAGAGTCTTCCCTCGGGTAAGGCAGGCAGAGTGTGCCCGCAGGCAGCAGGCAGCAGGGTGGGTCAGCAACAGTCTATAGCTCTGGAGCTTAGCTAGGCAGACCCTGACGGGGTCTGAAACTCGGCAAGGTAACAGGATGCACCAGCATCGAGCTCAAGCAATGTGCATACGCAGGAAGCAGGTCTCGAAGGAGCCTGAAGCTCTAGGGAACATGATCCACAGGTTGGCTTGGCCCACAGGTAGTATAGCACACAGGTTGAGGCAGAGAACTAGCTAAAGCAGCAGCACGCTGGTCCGATCACCAAGGAGCTAGAGACAGGAGCGCGCCTTGCAGAGCCGTTTATCTCGTTGCCCTCCAATCAAGCTGTGACCTGGCTAAACTCTAGCTACACGTTCCTATTGGCCTGGTTGGCATGATAAACCTAATTCTCTCTCTCTCTCTTTCTCTCTCTCTCTCAATCTCTCTCTCTCTCTCTCTCTCTCTCACACACAAACACACACACACACACACACACACACACACATATCATGGCAGAAAATCTGTGTACTGTGTCAGCCACATCTGGGGTGAGGGCCCCGTGAGTGACCACTGGCCTTCTTGGCCTCCCCTTTCCTCACAGGACGACCTCTCTGTGCCTCTCACGGAGGAAGACTTGGATGGCTCCTCGGGGGTGCTGTTTCCCTTCTACGATGCGGACACCAACGTGCTCTACGTGGTGGGGAAGGTCAGCCCAACGTGCGCAGGGAACTGACCCCTACACCCAAGGCAGGAGGCCAAAATGCTGCCAGCTTGTCCGCTCTGCTGCCAGACAGCAAGTGGGGCCATGGAGGTGGGGCAGGGGCACACCACAACCTCGGAGGCCCACCCAGGATGTCCAGAGGCAGGAAGAAGACACCCAGGGGCCCCTGGTGGGGGGCAAGCAGTTCTCCCACCCGATTCACAAGTCTGCATGGAAAGCTTTTGGGTTTCCAAGAGACACGTCTGAGTAGTTGTGTTGGAATGTGGGTACCCGTGCACTACTACTGCATGTAGAGGACCTTGAAGATGGACCACAGTGGGGAACCTCAGTAGGGCCTTCTCTGGCCCTGCAATAACAGTCCTCCCCTGTGGTCCCGGCATGCTCCTGCCCACCTGAGGCATACATGCACACAGGGCACCTCACTGTCTACTCTCACCCTGCCGTGAGCCCAGCACCCCTCCCACCAGGCCTTTGATAGATACTTGCACGAGTCCCCTCCCCAGCTCTGACCCTGATGCGGGCCCAGCTGGTATATCCCAGCAGAGGGCTCTCTGGGGTCTCCCTTGGATAGGGCCGGCTCCCATGCTGGACAGCCCTGGTGACATGGTGGGCTAGGTGCTGTCGGGCAAGTTCAAAACCACCAGTCGTTCCTCGGGAGACAGACTGGGCTTTCTACTCCCGCAAATGATGACACTCTTGAAACCCCACAGGGGCAGTTCTACCCTGTCCTGTAGGGTCTCTGTGAGTGAAATCTACTTGGTGTGTGTGAGTTAGAGGTTTTCGAGGCTACTGCCTTCGATCGGGGAACATCTCCCAGTTCCCCACCCCCACCCCTGTTTCGGACAATATGGTGACAGAAGCTCCCCCCTGGCTGGTCTCTGAGGGTAGTCGGCTCCAGCCTCCACTGTGGTGCTCAGATGGGAGTGGGGATGGGGCCATTTTGAAAGGACAGGGTCACTTTGGGTTAGGGTTGGCAGGGTGGATCCTTACAATGAGGATCCACCTCCCCCCTTGGTGTTAGGACCCCGAGCTCCCTGGTGTGGTGGTTTCCCTTTGTGAGGAGGGTCGGTCAACCAGTCCCTCTGTGAGACCAGGTTTCTGCTGCGTGCCGCTGCGGGGGTGGAGGGGCGCCGGGTGGGGGTGGGTAAGACCAGTTCTGACTCTCCCCTTCATCCTCCTCAGGGGGATGGGAACATCCGCTACTACGAGGTGAGCTCAGACAAGCCGCACTTGAACTACCTGACGGAATACCGCTCCTATAACCCGCAGAAGGGGATCGGTGAGAGCCGGGCCCAGGGCAACGGGAGACGGGCCACATTCTGTAAGGGGAACGGCCGCGTGCCAGTCCCAGGGCCACAGGAGAGGAGCTATAGTCTGTAGGGAACGGCCACATTCCATCCCGGGGCGACAGGAGACGGGCCGCATTCTGTAGGGGGAACGGGCCCTCAGGACTGCTCTGCGGTTGTCGCGGGGCTGTCCTGGAGCAGGTTCGGTGTGGGGAGCTGAAGGAGAGGCAGGGTGAAGGTGCCAATGGGTTGCCCCGAGTGCTCACAGCAGTAGCAGGCAGGCGTGAGAGGCCGGTCCCAGAGACCTGCTGCCCAGGCCGACATTCTAAGTGCTTTGGGCTCAAAGGAGGAGCCCTGGCTGCCCAGTGATTAGGGTTGGGCAGGGTCCGCAGTTTGGAACCTTGGGAGGACATAGCTCTTTGGGAGAGAGATGGGGAGGCTCCCCTCAAAAGGTACCGTCTCAGAAACTCACAGGGGCAGTTTGACCCTGTCCTATAGGGTGGCAGCAGTGAGTCTGGTTTGGAGTGGGTGGGCTCAGAGGACTGTGGGACTGGAGTTGGGGAACCCTACGCAGAGCAGGAGCCCTGGTGGCGCAGGCAGTTAAGTGTTCCGCTGCCACCCAAAATCTGACGGTCCAACCTGCCTCTGAAGACTCCCCTTGGCCGGGAAGTCAATTCTGGCTCAGAGTGCCCCTACAGGAGAGCCTGAACCTGCCCCAAAGTGTTTCCACGACGGTCATCTAGAGGAAAGATCTCCACACCTTTCTTTGATGGAGTGGCCGGTGGACTAGAACCCCAATTTCTATGGGCAGTTCTCCTCAGTCACATGGGGTTACTATGGCACCCAGCAGCATGGTAGAGGTCTACGAGACTGATTCCAGGCCTTGACGTGGGGACTGGTCTGCTTGTTTCCATTCTGTTTCCTGGGCTCTGGGCCTGGCCCGGCCCAGCAGAAGTATTTTGATCACTGTTTGCTGAGAGCAGGCAAGTAGGGGTGGGGTGGGGCGGTGGAGGGGGAGAGGGGAGTTCTGCTGACCTTCAGATGTATGGTCTGGTGTTTCAACTCACCCTGGGACCCTGCGGCCACAGCCTAGCCTGTAACCTCACGTCCCTCTGGGCCATCTGCCCCCAGGTGTCATGCCAAAGAGAGGTCTCGATGTGTCCTCCTGCGAGATCTTCCGCTTCTACAAGCTGATTACGACCAAAAGTCTCATCGAGCCTGTCTCCATGATTGTGCCCCGGCGGGTAAGGGCAGTGGGGCCGTCTGGGGAAAAGCAGGGCCAGGGGTGCGGGTCCGCCATAGAGAGGTCAGTGGCCACTGCCCAGAGGGGGAGGTCAGGGATCCAAGAGTCCTGGGTCTCACCTCAGCAGCGGGTGGGAGAGACTAGACTCCCGGCTCTCAAGGACCCCTCTCAACTGGGCAACCCCTCCCCTCCCCACCTCTTGTGCTGTCCTGACTTCTGCAGTCGGAATCCTTCCAAGAGGACATCTACCCGCCGACAGCGGGGACTCAGCCCTCTCTGACCGCTCAGGAGTGGCTCAGCGGGATAAACAGAGGTGAGGAGAGCAGAGACCAGGCCTTAGACAAATGTGGTATGGGATACCCAGTGGGGGACATGGGGTCCCCAGTGGGGGGCATGGGAGGCCTGTTAGCCCTGGGTAGCTAGAGGGTCTGATTCTTTCATAACTCTGATAGTCTGCCTGGGAGCTGGAGGTGGTCACATACAGGTCCAGAGAGGCTGGTGCTGTTGTCGCCCAGAAAACCCAGCTCAAAGGCACTGCCTTGTGGGGACTTCTTTAAACTCTGGGCTGGGCAGGATGGTGCGATAGTCTCAGCCAGAGCCTTCCTTCAAGCAGCCCCCAGCCCCATTATTCCTGACCCGAGAGACCCTCTAGACAGCAGTCCGCACCCTGCACCCATGGCTCTTCTGCCCTGCCCTGCCCATGAGGGAAGGAGGGTCATTGCCATCTGCCCACTCCCCAGTGATTGACATGGCCCTCCTCAACCCCATTCCCTTCACGACCCAGTGGCTGAGGGGCCCAGGGGAAAGGAAGAGCCTCTTTCTGGGGTGTGAATGCATCCCACTTCTGTCGGAGCCTTCAGCCTTGCCCCTCTCTCAGGCTCCAGCTCCTCACCTGGGGTGGGGGTGGGCGGAGATGAGTGGACGTGGTAGGTGGCTGAGTGCAGTGTGGGGGCTGTCGGGGGCTTCCAGTACTGGCTTCAGTGTGGGTTGTGCTGATGAGCCTGGTTTGTGTGTCTGCGGGTGCTTCTGCCTGGCTCTGCGTGTCAGTGCCCCACACCCCCAGCTGTCTGTCCATGGGTGTTCAGTCCTGACAATGCCTTGCTTCCTCCCCAGAACCGCTCCTGGTGTCCCTCAGGCCGGGCTCTGAGCTGCTGAGCCCCAAGCCACGGCCTCCAGAGAGTCCCCTCTCCAATTCCAACACAGCAGCCCCAGCCTCGCCTCCATCTCCAGAGGCTGCCCGGAGGCCTTCCTTTCTGCTCGGGGAGAGGGCCCCACGCTGGGCAGCAGAGCACAGGCTGCCCGAGGAGAAGAAACGCTGGTTCACAAACGGCTTCGACGTTTTCGAATGCCCCCCACCAAAGACGGAGAACGAGGTGGGGCCTGCACAGGGCTGACTGGGGGGGCCTCTGGGGGGTGGGCATCATGAGAGAGAGCCAAGAAGGTGAAAGTGAGGGTGAGCAATGCGGCCTAGTCTGGTTCAGCGAGCAGTGCCAAGGTGGCGGCTTCATTCCCCACCAGTCCCGTGAAGAGAGAGTCCCTGGGCACAGCACACGGGTGACTCCCTCAGCAGCTAATTGAAAGTTTAGAGGTTTAAGTCCACCTAGAGTGCCGCGGGAGAAAGACCTGGAGATCTACTTCTGAAAAATCAGCCATGGAAAACCCTGTGAAGCACAGCTCTGCTCAGACACATCCGGGTCGACTCCTTGGCTGCTGCTGCTGAAATGAGAGGGTTTGGCCTGAGAGGTGTTACAGGCAGCTGATGTTGTCGATGATGGTATTGATGTTGATGTTGTTGGTGTTGATATTGAAGTTGTTGTCAATGTTGTTAATGTTAATGTCATTGGTGTTGATATTGATGTTGTTAATGTTGATATTGATGTTGATGTTGATGATGTTGATGTTGTTGATGTTGATATTGATGTTGTTAATGTCATTGATGTTGACGATGTTGTTAATGTTGTTGAAGTTGTTGTTGTCCTTCTGGCACTCTGGAGCTTCTCTGCCTTCCACATCAACATTTGTTAAGTGCCTACTGTGTGCCAGATCCTGTGTTAGACACTTAGAATAGATGGTCTCATTGAGTTCTCTCCACAGCTTTAGTTAGCCAGTGGTGCTGTGGGGAAAATGCCACAAGGGGAGGCGATAACAAATAGACCGTTCTCCTCGGGCAGTTTAGGAGGCTAGAGGTCTGCACAGGGGCACTGGCTCTGGGAGAAGGGCCATGTTCCTCCCGCGGTCTTTCTCCCCCACCTCTGCTGACCTCTTTCTTTATCTCAAAGGGGATTAACTTAAACACACCCCACACCGATCTGGCCCCTTCTCGTGACAAAAATCCTGTTTCCAAAAGGATGGTGAGCACAGGATTCTCCACATGTAATTTGCAGGGAGTTGGTTGAGTCCTTACCAGTCAGCTTCCACCGGGAAATCCGTACACACCAATCTCGAGTCAGGTGCAACCCCATCAGAGAAGGAAAACAAAGATGTTCCCACTGTGGAGAGAAAAGACGAAACTCAAATTCTCCACCATCCAGTTGATCAACGACCCACTAGGACAGAGTAGAACTGCCCCTGTGGAGTTCCAAGACTGTAACTCTTTACAGGGCCAGAAAGCCTCATCTCCCTCTTGAGGAGAGACTGTCGGCTTCAGACTGTTGATCTTCTGATTAACAGCCCAGGGCCTAACATCACACCACCAGGGCTCCTCTGCACTACATAGAGTGCTAGAAAGAAGGGTAAGAGCGCTCCCTGTGAAAGGAGGGAAACCTGTGAGACCCGGAAAGCAAGGCCGCCTGGCACGTTCCAGTTCTCACAGGGTTAGCTACAGTAGCTGAAAGCATAAGGCCCAGCCTCTCACGGAAGGCTTCCGGCCTGAGCTCTGCTAAGGACTTCCCAACCACAGCCTCACACCCTGGGGCTGGCTGGCTGTAAAACCCGCTGCCATGGATCCCCCACCACAGCGACCCTGTTCGCCCGAGGAGAGCTGCTCCCGAGGACTTCTGAGACTGCAAGTCTTTATGGGAGCAGACTGGTGGGTTTGAGCCACACAGCACTTAACTCACGGTGCCACTAGGGCTGTAGGCCTCAGTAAGCGTTTCTCCCAGTGGTCCATGGGGCTCCCAACACCGCGACCCTCGAAGGGGTGTCCTGGACACCCAAGAGGAAGATGACAGTCCGTAGCAAAACACTCAACACTTAGTAGCTGTTACAACAATGCTGCCTGACCCTGGGTTCCCAGAAGAGGAAATAGAAGCTCAGAGGGTAAGTAACTTAGCCCCAGGGTCTCACAGCCTTTGGGGTGCTGCCACAGCTCCATCCTCCAGACTTCAAGACCAAGTTTCCCTTCCTCCATCCCATGGGGGAATAATCCAAGGATGTAAACGATAGCAGAAACGTCTCGGTATTTTCGAATTTCCTGTCTTGGGTGGGAAGAAACAAGATTGTTATCCAAGGTCTGTGCTCAGGGCTTTAGCCACACCTACCTGATCACCTCTTGATTTTGAGTTAAAAAGGCAGTCACATTTTGGCCTCTCTGTTGGTGTTCTGCTCCCTTGGTCCCAGGTAACCTTGCCTCTGTCCTTTGCTTTCCCAGCTGCTACAGATGTTCTACCGGCAACAGGAAGAGATCCGGCGGCTGCGGGAGCTGCTGACCCAGCGCGAGGTGCAGGCCAAGCAGTTGGAGCTGGAGATGAAAAACTTGCAGAGGGACTCAGGGAGGTTCTGAGCAGGGGCCTCTGCCCTCCTCGCCCTCAGGGACACCGTGCCACCCCACGGGGTGGTGCAGCACCAAGCCGCAAGGCCCCCCCACCCCCCGAGAACAACCACTATTCTATATTTGATACCAGAAAAGGACTCTCAGTCATGAGACTCCAGTGGGACCTGGTGCCGCTTTTCTATCTGCCGTCTCCTGCAAGAAGTTTCCAAATCGACTGGTTTTAGATGACACCTCACTTTCTGTTTAAGTCTGTTTTTAAGAGCCGAAGACGAGCTGCCCCTTCTGAAGGGGAAAGAACCTGGTAGAACGTATGGGCCGAGCTCCTTTTCTTCTAGGGAAAACGCGATACGGCTAGTAAGAGAAAGGAATGGAAGTTTGGAAATCAGTCATCGGGTTCAACTCCCCATTTTACAGGTGGGGAAACTGAGCCCCAGAAAAGGAAGGGCAAGTGACTCCATCGCCAGAATATTTGAGGTTCTCGTCTCCTAGTCTGTCTGTGTGTCTGTCTGCAGCTTCGGGGCTGGTGCAATTCTCAGCCTACTTACTGGGCAGGCAGGCTCTGGTTCAGGCTTAGCTCAGTGACCGTCGGAAAGCCCCGTCCCCCTCTCGTCTCAATTTCCCCACCCGATCAAGGCCTGGGGGGTGGGGGTGGGGGGACTTTGAGCCCGCTGTCTTCAACAGAATCTACTGAAACCTTGGCTTTGGCCCCCCATGGGGTGATGGTGTGGGTTTGCCGCTGAGACAAGACAGAGGGGCTGAGAGAGTTGCGCCTTAGGGGAACGAATCAAGAGTTAGCCCAGTGTAGACCACAGACCTGAGCGTCAAACCAATCCTCTCTTCAACCAGAATCAGCCAGAGGTGGGTAAATCATCTCCCTTATGTGCGTGGGGACACCACACCAGAGAGGTGTCCGACAAATGGGTTCCACCCAAGTTAACAGAAGAGCGTTCCCCTCCCACCCCACCCAATACTAGAAGCAAGGGAAGCTCTCGCCACACCCAGGAAAGCTTCTGCAGAGGGGTAGCTGCCTTGGGCCAGGAGGCAGGACTAGATAGCTGAGACGCTCCCTTCCTGGCCTTGCGACTTCAGGAGTTCAGGTCCTCCCTTGTGAATCTGCTCGGAGCCCAGTTCTAAGGTTCTCTCTGAACCCAAGAGCCCAGAAAAAGACTGCGGGTGTCTGGGAGTCCACCTCGTCCCTCCTTCCCCAAGAAAGGCAGACCATGAGTGCCCCCCATTGTGCGGGGGGGCAGTATGTTAGAGCAGGCCCTGTGGTCACGCAAAGGTGAAGCACTCCACTGCTTAACCAACAGGTCTGCACTGCAAACCCACCATCAGCTCCTCTGGGGGAAGATGTGGCCAGAAAGATCCACAGCCTCGGAAACTCTGTGGGGCCGCTCGACTGTCCTGGAGGGTCTCTGTGTGTTGGAATAAATTCCACAGCAGCAGGTTTGGTTTGGGGTTTGCTTTGTCCATTTCTGTCACCTTGGGGGTGTTGAGAAAGTTCACGTGCTCAGGCCTTGCCCCAGAACAACGAAATCTGATTCTTGGATCAAACCTGGGCATGCATCTGTCTATTTATAACGCTTCCCAGGTGACTCTTCGATGCAGTGAGGACCCGGGACCAGTCCTCTGTAGTAAAACAAGGACAATAGGCCCCAAACAGGGGCTGAGGGATGCCAAAGTCTCCAGAGAGCCAGGACTCAACCCACATCCTTTAAGTCCTGGTATGAGGTCCCTAAAAAGTCAAGAAGTGTTGTCCCCAACCCTCATCATTCTCAAAACATTTGCTCTCCTGTGTGTCCGCTTCCTCACCATGGCTGGTTCCCCTGTCTGTCTGCATCCATCAGGCGCCCACATTCTGGCTCCTTTTCTTGTCTTCCGTTCACTCAGGCACTGGGGCTTGCTCTGGCCTGAGGCCCCAGCCAAGCTTGCCTTATTATGCTCTGGAGGAAAAGGCCAGATTCCAGGCCTATCAGGGAAGCCGAGCTCCACTGGATGGAGCTACTCCTCCACGTTTGTGGCCAGCACTTCATGGTTTACAAAGTTGCCCCACCTCTGCTCTGCTGCAGGGGCTCATTATCCAGGCCCAGAGCCAAGACCTAGCCATGGAGCCGTGAAGAAACACCCGGGCTGGGGATTCCTGGCTGCAGGGGAGCAGAGTTGGAGAGCTTTGAATTCAGCACCCCTCCTCTGTGCCACCCCTTCTCTAGCCCCCTGCCTCTGAGGGACCCAGACCTCATGCTTAAAGAGGTGTCTTTGAACAAACATTTCTTTCTTTCTTTCTTTTTGTATCTAGAATAAATTATTTAAATTATTTCTCAGCCAGGGAGAGGGATAGGTAATTTTTACCAGATATTTTTTTAAGCGCTTTTTTCCCTTTTTTAATTAAATTTTTGTTTCTGTTCTTGCTGCTGGACTGGGACTTGCCGAGAGCCAGCAGGGCCCAGCCAATGGCAGAGGGGCACTCGCCCCTTTGGAAAGCACTGGGCTGTTGCCCCAGGACCTTTCCGAGAAGGAGGGCCCATTTGGAGATGAGCTTTGTGGTGGTGATGGAGGTGGCCCAGTCTCTACGTTGGCTCAAAAGTCATTGTTCTTCCTGGGACAAAGGTTGAGATTCTGTCATGAGAGAAACAGCCCAAGATTGATTTTTGCTTCTAATATGAAACTGTGCCTGAATTGTTTAAATGATTGCTCTGCCATTGTTTCTGACAATTTACCTTTGTAAACACAAAATGAGAATAATGAAAGTGAAAATAAATGTTGTGGAATAGTGCAATGGAAAGAATGGAACAAATAATAAAAGCTGGATAGAAGTTTTATTCTATGGAAGCTCTCTTTTTCTTGATTGTACCACAAATGCTAATTAAACATCTACTGTTTGGGCCAGACATCACGCAGGGATATGAGACAAACATGGTTCCTAATTGGTGTCACCAATCAGCTGCTCACCAAAAGGTCATCAGTTCAAACTCACCCGGCCGCTCTGTGGGAGAAAGATGAGGCAGCCTGCTTCCAGATAGGGTACAGCTGATTGCCCTGTGGGGCTGTTCTACTCTGTTTTATGCGGTCACTATGAACCGGAGCCACCACTTCGCAGTCAACTTGTCATACTGTGCTGGCTTGGTGTTGCTGTGATGGTGGATGCTATGTCACTGGTACGTCCCATACCAGGGTCACCCAAGGCGAACATGTTCCAGCAGTGCTTCCAGACTAGAACAGTCAAGGAAGTAAGAATAGGTGGTCCACTTCAGAGAAATCGGCCACTGAAAACCCTCTGGGCAGCACCAACACATGGTCAGTTACTGGAAACCTCAGGAAGAGAAGCAGGACATTGTCAGGTAGTGCCAGAAGACGAGCCCCTCAGATCAGAAAGTACAACTGAGGAAGAGCTGTTTTTGCACCGTAGGATCGACCACAATGACAGAGAGAGGAAAGCCTTTGGGCCTCCGTGTGACCCTGGGGCACGACTCAAAATGAGAAGAAATGGCTGTCAACCCCCATTAATAATTGGAACTTGAAATGGACAAAGTATGAATCTAGGAAAATTGGAAGTTGTCAGAAATGAAATGGAACATAAAGATTGGTATTCTAGGTACTAGAGTGCTGCAATGAACTGGTATTGGCCATTCTGATCAGAAAGGCATATAGTTGTTTTTTTAAGTCATTTTATTGGGGGCTCATACAACTTTGATCACAATCCATACATCCATCCATTGTGTCAAGCACATTTGTACATCCGTGGCCCTCATCATTCTCAAAACATTTGCTCTCCATGTAAGCCCTTGGTATCAGCTGCATATGGTTTACTATGCCAGAATAACATATCGAGAGGAACAGGGGTTCAGTCATGGTCAAAAAACACATTTTAAGGTCTATCGTGAAGTATGATGCTCTCTGCGATAGGATAATTTCTATCCCCACACAAGAAAATCCAATAAATAGAATTATTATTCAAATTTATGAGCCTAACCGGGTGAAATCTAGAATACCAGAAAGTAGCAAATACCAGAAAGATGTTTACTGTACTTGAGTTTTTTTGACTACGCAAAGGCGCTGAACTATACGGGTCATAACAAACGATGGATAGCTTTGAGAAGAATGGGAATTCCAAAACACTTGATTGTGCTTTTGGAACGTGTACATGGATCAAGAGGCCGATGTGGGAACAACAGGGGAACACTGCAGGGTTTAGAATTGGGAAACATGTTCATCAAGGTTGTATCCTCTCACCATATACTTACTCAACCTGTACGCTGAGCAAATCATCAGAGAAGCTGGATTATATGAAGAATGTGGCAGCAGGACTGAATGAGAGGCTTATTAACAGCCTGCGATATGCAGGTGACACAACCTTGCTGGAAGTGAGGAGGACCTGAAACCCTTGCCGATGAAGATCAAGGACTGGAGCCTTCAGTATGGATAGCATACAACTCAACGTAAAGAAGACAGATCCTGATAAACGGAGGAAAGGCTGACGCTGTCCAGGATTTCACATGCTTGGATCCACTATCCATGCTCATGGAAACAGCAGTCAGGAGAGCAAAGCACGCATGGCATTGCGTAGATCCGCTGCACAAAACCTCTTAAAAGTGTCGAAAAGCAAAGATGTTATTTCGAGGACTGAGGTACACCTGACCCCAAGCCCTGATATTTTCAATCACCTCATCTGCATGTGAGAGTCGTACATTCGGTAAAGAAGACAGGAAAGAATACTGCATTTGAACTGTGGTGCTGGCAACGAATAGTGAACGTACCATAGACCACTAAGAGCATGAGCAAGTCTGTCTTGGAAGAAATATCGGCAGAGTGCTTCTTAGAGGCAACGATGGCGAGACTTGCCGCACGTACTTTGGACATGTCGTCAGGAGAGACCAGTCCCCGAGAAGGGTGTCACGCTTGGTAAAGTAGAGGGGCAGCGGAAGAGGAGGCCCCTCAGTGAGATGGATTGATCCACGGCTGCCACTAGGGGCTCAAGCATAGCACAAATATGAGGCTGGTGCAGGACTGGGCTGGACGGAGGGTCACTGTGCACGGGGATGGCTTGGTGACACCCACTTAACAGCAGCAGCAAGAGTCGGCATCAGTTTGATGGCAATCGTGCAAACCAGCTGTCGCGAGCCAATTTCAACTGTGGTCTTGAAGGACAGGGTAGAACTACCCCACGGCGCCGGGGTTCTCAACCTTCCTCAAGCTGAGACCCTTTCATACAGTTCCTCATGTGGTGGGGATCCCCCAACCATACCATTATTTTCATTGCTACTTCATCACAGTCATCTTGCTACTGTTATGAATCGGGCGACCCCTGTGAAAGGGTCGTTTCACCCCCAAAGGGGTCGTGACCCACAGGTTGAGAACCGCTGCCATAGGGGTTCTCTAAGGCTGCAGTTTTTGTTTTTGTTTGTAACTAGAATGTGAGAAGAATCCAAGCCAGTTTCCCTTTTACTGTGCCTCCGCTCACAGCCCGGCAGACCAATGTTTAAGACTGGTGGGTGAGGAGTCAGGAGGGTTGTTTTGTTAAGGCTGTGAACCTGCCCTCTCTTTTTTATAAATGTTCACTTTACTTATCTTCCAAGGCTGTAATCCTTACAGGGGCAGATCGAGCATCTCTTTGTCCCTCTCTCTCTCTGCAGAGTGGCTGGGCATTTGAACCACTGACCTCTGCGTTAGCAGCCAAGGGTAGAACAGAGAGAGAAGGCTAAGTTAAAGAGCCTTGTATGGAGAGCTGGGCCTTTGGTCTGGGAGCAGCGGCTCTGCGAGCAGTTCTGTTGGCTTTTGCTGTTGAGAATATACGCAGACGGACCACTGGGCAAACGCCCGGCGGACAATCTGCGGGCTCTGATGGCGCTCCTTGCGTTGTGCAATCAGTCTCCTCCAAACCTTTCCTCCTGCATGGACAACAACTCGTCGTCTCCTCGGAGTTTCCAACTCCCAGGAGTCCGAGTGGTGCAAACGATTGAACTGCGCGGCTGCTACTCCATAGGTTCAAGTCCACCCAGAGGCACCTCCAAAAAAGGCCTGGCGCCCTACCTCCCCTAGACAGCCGCCATCGAAAAGCCTTTGGCGCACAGCTCTACTCTGATGCACGGGGGTCGCCAGGCGTGGAGTGAGCTGGACAGCAGCCCGTTTTCTTACAAGTCGGGGGCATGGTTCTCTCCTGGGGAAAGAGCGGGTCAAAGGTGGGCAGGGCACACCCCCAGAGACAGCCTCAGCCGGCTGCTCCCTGTCAACCTTGACCAAGTGGCTGTGTTTTGAGCTCGCAGTACTAGGGGGAACACTAAGCAGAATAAAGGCGCGCAATGGGCGAGACGCTCCCCTCCACCACCACCACACCCCGGTGCACCCCCTTCCGCGGAGACCACCTCCTGGCTGACCGCGAGGACCCGCTAGACCGCGCCCCAGCGAACTTGGCAGGAAGATGCTACCCTTCACTCCCTTCAGCCCGGGCCGCCCCGCCCCGCGCCGTTTCCACTCCCGGCCGCAGCCCCACCCAGCCTCATCCAGTCCGAATGGCGGCCGCCGAGGCGACCAGCGAGACACCCGGGAGGCCGGGGGCCGCCGAGCCCGAGGGGGCGCGTGGCTGGCGCTGCCCGGAGCACGGCGACCGCGAGGTTGAGCTCTTCTGCCGCCGCTGCCAACGCTGCGTGTGCGCGCTGTGCCCCGTGCTGGGCGCGCACCGCGGCCACCCGGTCGGTCTGGCGCCGGAGGAGGCGGCGCACGTGCAGGTGGGGCTGGGGGCGTGGAGGGGGCCGCGTGGGGACGGAACAGGTGGGAGGGAGGGAGCGTGCCGGGTTTACTGTCCCTACCGGTCAGTTCCCATGGTGCCCAGAGGTCAACGAGGTGTCTTTGTGGTTCACGAGACACAGGTGGGCGCAGCAAAGGGCAAGTGACCCCCTGCCATCTGTTAGGCCTCAGGCCTCGGTGGGAACTGCAGCACCAGGCTTCTGTTACCCAGACTTAAAATATACATGAAAATAAAACCTCATCCACCAAGCCTGGCCCCTTATACTGCCCTGGGCCGGAAGAAAATTCACCTTTTCACCATGTTAGGCACTCCCACCCAGCGGGAAAAGCGCATGTAGCCCCCGGAAGCCACAGGGAAACATCTGCGGGTGGTTTTTTTTACCTGAAGTTCACAGAAAGTGACTGTGGGCTGCAGGCTTAATGGGCCAGTCAGCTCAGCACCACCCTCCTCTCTCAATGCCAATTCTCCCTCCCCCTCCCTCACTTCTCCCTCCCCCTCCCCTCCTTTTCCCTTCCCCCCCAGTCCCTCCCCGCCCCCAACTCCCTCATTGGTGAATGGAGCCATTGTATGCATTCAAAACTAAGGCTGGGAGGCAGAGGCAGGCTTTGAACACAGAACTTCACACACTGGGTTGCTCCCACTGGCCCATTCTCCCCTGGAACCCCCTCTCCCAATTGTAATCCTAATACTAGTGGCCAGAACTCTGGTCTCTCTTCTCTTCTCTTCTCTTCTCTCTCTCTCTCTCTGTGCTTCAGGTTGGGCTAGGCAGGGACCCCAATCTCTAACCCAATTCACCACTGTCCAATGGATGACGGTTCATAGCGACCCTGTAGGATAAGGTAGAACTGCCCCTGTGGGCTTCCTAGACTGTAAACCTTTATGGAAGTAGGAAGCCTCATCTTACTCTCATGGAGTGGCTGGTGGGTTCGAACTGCGGGCCTTGCAGTTAGCAGCCCAATACATAGCGTACGTCCCTGACAGACATTGATTCTACTACTTCCACTTTCCAAAAGATGAACCCAGACCCAGGATGATCTCTCCCCTGCGTGGTGGCAGACTGAGGGCACCACACGGTAACCATCTTAGAGCTCAAAGGTAGAATGAGCCTGGGTGCAGGCAGTCTTGTGCATCCTGCCTCTGTGTCCAGAGCCTTGATTTTCTTACCTGTAAAATGGCTGTAATAATAGCTCCCCCTGGAACGCTTATGAAGAGGCAACAAGACTGTCTTCTAGAGTTAAGACTTGGGGTCTCTCCCATTCCCCCATTTGCCCACGCATCAATCCACCATCTATGGGGACCCATTATTACATCCATACACCTGCCTATCTACCCACCCATCAGCCCTTCATTTAGTCACCAAACATGTATTTGGCACACTCTGAGCAAACACTATCAACAAGAATGAAAGGTGGTTTCAATTGTCTCCTGCCCTAGAGGAGCCGTTCCCCTGGCTCATGGCAGGGAATAGGCCAAGACTATCGAGTGTGGTAAGTACTGCCATGCGGGAGCCCAGGCACGGGCCGGGAGCCAGAGAAAAGAGTGTGAGGGCTAGGGACAGGCAGGCTCCCGGGAAAGTTGTAAAGGCACAGATTGGGTGGGGGCCATTTCAGATGAGAGGTGAGGGGAGCATCAGCTCTACAGACCTGTCACTCAAATGTCTTCTGAGCCCCAGTCCGAGCCAGAGGGTCACAGTACCCCTGGAATAGCACTTCTCGAGGGCAGCTTCTGGAAGCAGGTGCTCAGTTCACCCTCAGTAAGTGCATGCTCTCCCCCTGTCTCCAAGCCTTCGCTTCCTATTTGAGGGGCTAGAAAAGCGGGCCACACGCAGAATGTGTTCCGAGCCCAAACAAAGCAGGACCACCAATGGAGTGGCATGGAGATCTGACAAAGACCTGGTGTGCCCTCTGAAGACCAGAGGGGCCCAGGCCCCCTGCCCCCCCCCATTGGTCATGTGACTTTGGACAAGTTATGTCACCTTCTGCAAGCAGGAAAAGCTGTGGGGAGAGAGGAGATGGTGGTTTGGGGTGCCTTGTTTCCTCCCGGTGACAGTCCTGAGACGTCTCCTACTTCCTCACATACAGAAACTCACCCAAGACTGTTTGAAGCAGTTAGCAACCAAGACGCAACAAGAAGTTGACAACATAGCCCAGATAGAAGACGCTGCTGAGAAGCTGAAGGCAAGCAGACCTTTCTTTCTTCCTTCTCGTTGACACGCCCACATTTCCCTTCAGACACCTGGTCTTCCAGAACATGGAGCCAAAGAAAAATAAAGACCTAGCCAACACTTAGGTGGGCAGGGGGGTGTGGACTAGAATTTATACATCAATGCTATGGAAGCGGCAGGCAGGATATCAAATGATGTGTCAGATTGGGTAAATCTGCTGCCCGAGACCTCTATAAACTGTTGAAGAGCAAGGATGTCACTTTGAGGACTAAGGTGCACCTGACCCAAGCCATGGTCTTTTCAATCCCCCCCGCCCCCATGCATGTGGCAGTTAGACAAGGAATAAGGAAGGCATAGAAGAACCGATATGTTTGGATAATCGTCTTCAGCACACTGTTGACAGGTGTATTAGTCTGGGTAGTTTAGAAAAACAAATCCACAGAAACTGATGTATAAGAGAGTTTTATATAAAGGTTAAGTGCACATCCAGAAAACATCCTAATCCAGTGCTACCCAAGCCCACAAGTCCAACATTAACCCATTAACCCATTAACACCAATCCACAAAGTCCTCCTCCATCTCACAAAACACATGCAATAATGCCGACTGCAGGAGGAAAGCTAAATCAGTGAATGTGTAAGCATCTCAGCACTGGCAGGGGTCTCCACACGGGTGCTCCAGCACCCAGGGCTGCATCAGGGTAGGTCCATGTGGCTTCTCCTCAGGGATGTCTTGCAGGAAGTGAGCCTTGCCAGCTGAAGCCGGGAACTGGCTAAGGCAGCTGCACCCTGGTCCGACCATCAGAAAGCAAGAGACCCGAGAACTAGAAAGGTGAAGTTCACCGAGCCATTTATCCCTCCACCCTTCAATTAACCCCACATGTGTTTATCGGCCAGGTTGGCACAATAAACTAACTACCTCAATGGGTGATTATGGAAAACACTGTGGACGGCCAGAAGAACGAACAGAAATGTCTCAGAAGAAAGACAGCCAGGGTGCTCTTTAGAAGTGGCTGACATGCTTCGTGCATGTTGTCGGGAGAGGCCGGTCTCTGGAGAAGGACACCATCCTTGGCAAAGCCCTCAATGAAACCGATGGACACAGTGGCTGCAATCCCAGACTCCAACATGGCAACGATGGTGAGGGTGGTGTGGGACTAGACACGGTTTTCTTATGTTGTGTACGAGTTGGAACCAACTCAATAGCATCTAACAACCTGGCTTACACAAGAGCCGTGGTGGTACCATGCTTAAGCACTTGCCTGCTTACCAGAAGGTTGCCAGCGGTTTGAACCCACCAGCTAATGGGTGGGAGGAAAAAGGTGGCAGTCTGCTTCAGTAACGACTACGACTGTAATAGAGAATAAAAGGGAAGTCAGCAAAAAAGGCTGAAGGCAGAGGAAGACACTGGTGAGAGGACAAGAGTTCAAGGCAGCAGAGGGCAATACGCTCATAGACACAGCCCTGCCGTAGCAGCGATCTATAAGTAGATGCACATATGGGCATGCAAGCTGAAGAAGTGTGGAAAGAAGGACGGCCTATACCCATGAATAGTTTATGTAGATTTGACGGGATATTTCTACACACCTATTTACATAGGCTGCAAAGGTATCCATAATTATGGTAGAGCATTCAGGGAGCAAAGTGATGACAACTTCTTAGCCATAACCAAACACCGTAAGGGAATGAATGCCTGCGTCTGAGGGCTCAAGACAGCAAGAGGGTGAAACAGTGCCCAGGGCCGGGCCATCCTCACAGTCATTTCTGTTTGAGCCCATTATTGCAGCCACTCCTTTACCAAGCATGATGTCCCTCTCCAGGGACTGGCCCCTCCTGTCAACAAGCCCAAAGTACACGAGACTCGGTCTTCTTCTTTCACTTCTCCCTTTTCATAATGAAGTTCATGTCAGGAGATTCTTTTGCGGGTTTCGAATGGGAAGTTGGGACTGGTTCCTGCTGAGCCACCATTTGAACTGTGAAAAAATGTTGATACATCTTTTGGGCCCATTGGGTGGGGCCTCAGGCTGGTCCCTTTTCCCTCCCAGCTTCAGTTCTCAGGAGCCCTTGACTTATCACACACACAGGCATGAAGCCTGACTCACGCATGGGCGAAGCTGGCACCTAGGACTTCACCAAGCATGATGGCCTTCTCCAGGGACTGAGTCCATGGATGGACTCGCAGCAGTGTGGCCCAGGCTGGAGATAACCAGGTGCAAAGGTCTAGGGCAGGGCCAAGGATCGGCCTCCATTCAACATCCACAAGCGATAGAACGTTGGCAGGAGATGGTTCTGGTTCTACCTGTGGTCTCAGCTAATTATTAATAGTGTCTCAGCATAGAGGAGCAGCTGCACTGCTCCGCATAGACGTGCAGCTTGGGGACTTTGGACCGCAGTCCCAGGGACGACTAGGGCAATTGGTATAATATGCCCACAAAGAGACTGTTCTACATCCTACTTTGATAAGTAGCAGCTGGGGTCTTAAAAACGTGCACGTGGCCATCCAAGGTGCGACTACGGATCTCTCCCCACCCAGAGCAAAGAAGCGTGAAGAAAGTCAAGGACTCGTGGCGCGCGTGAACCACAGCCTCCACTGCCCTGAGACACAAGAGCTGCGTGGTGCCTGGCTGCCGCCACCAACCCCTCTGCTGTGGACCGCAATCGAAGGTCCTGGACAGGGCAAGATGGGGGAACAGTAGAATAAAATTCAAGGTTGTTTGTTTGTGTTTTAAATCAGGCTCACTGGTCTGATAGAGACTGGGGGAAGCCTGAGACCATGCCTTTCCGCCTACGACTGAACCCACCCCTGAAGATCAACTTTCTGCCAAACTCTTTGACAGGCCTGTAAAGTCAATATTAACACAAAGGAGGAATGCATTTCTCAGTGCAATCAACATTACAAGACAGACAACAAAACTCAGAAGGCAGGAAGGGCGGGAAAGAAGGTCAAGGGGAATCCGGGGACTCAAGGAGGAAGTGGGAAGACTACACCGAGAGGATTGCAACAATTGTCAGGAAACAAATTGTATATAATATTGTTGGCTGATGATTAAAAAACAAAGACTCACTGCTGTCAAGTTGATTCCAACAAGTGACTCCATGTGACCGGGTGGAACGTCCCCTGTGGCTTTCTCATTCCATATGACCGGGTGGAAACGTCCCCTGTGGCTTTCTGAGACTGAAACGCTTTAAGGGAACAGAAATCCTCGTTTTTCTCCCTCGGAGAGACTGATAGTTTTGAACTGCTGACCTTGTGGTTAGCAGCCCAGTGAGTAACCACTATGCCACCAGGGCTACTAGGGTGATAGTTAGGTTTTATGTCCATTTGGTTGGGCCAGGATTCTCCTACAATATGATCTAACATAGAATAAACCAAAGCCAAACTCACTACCATGGAGAGAGTCAATGCCAACTCATAGCAACCCTATAAGACAGGGTCAACTCCAAGGTAGGATCTTCTGTGAAGCAGCCAAGCAATTGTGGAAGAAAAGGATAGAGGACCACCTCCTTCATGGCCTCACTGCCTTGATACAATTGAGGGAGGGTTCCTTTGGGCTGTGGCCTACTTACAGTGAGGAATAGTGCTGTACAGAAACTAGCCCACTTCAGCTAGGTCTGGATCCTGTATCTAGTTTGCCATCCTCCTGTTATGTTGTCTGCTGATCTCAGGAGCCATCAGCATATGACCGACCTGGGCTTCTTCATTCTACTGTGGTCTTTCTGCTTCATCTCCCTGCTTCCTGTCCATCAGCCCTTACCGTTCCATAAGTCAGGCGAAGCTTCCAGCTTATGTCTGACCGACAGACTTGAAACAGACTGGACTTAGCCAGTTCTACCACTGGGTGAGCCAATTCTTGATCTAAATCTCTTTGTGAATACATGCACATAGAAGAGTCACTGGTTGGGCCCCTCTAGAGAACCCAGCCCAACACAGATGGAAAATCAGTTTGCTCTATAAACTTTCACCCAAACAACAATATGAAGTCCAGCAGTCCCGTGTGCAGGACTCTGGACTTAGGAAGATAAGTCAGCTCCAACAGCACCCCAGAGCAACTTTCCAGAGGGCTTGGGGAAATGGAAATGGGTACATTCAAAGATATGGAGGGAGTGCCAAGGGCTCTTTGGTCTCAAGAACGGCGTTGGAGCTCACATCACTGTCTGCAAATCTCCACCCAGATCCGGTTGGGCATCCCCCAAGGAAAGAGTGAAGACCGGTGTGTTGTATGGAAAAGTCTGGAGAGAGCTTACTCCAAGGAATGATGTTCTTTTTTTTGCCCCCTCCCCCAACTGAATTTTTCAACTTTTATTTTGAAATAATTATTAATTTGTAGGAAGTTGCAAAAATAGTACAGGAAAGTTCTGTACTACCAATTTGCCCCCTCTCAGAGGACAGTATCCACATCAGGACATGGACACTGTATGTGCATAGTTTCTCCCATGTGGAGATTCATCTCACCAGCAGCAATCAAGATCTAGAAATGTTCCATCACCCCCAATAGTTACCTCATGCTACCTCACCTCTCCCACCAATCCCTAACCCCTGGCCATCACTATCTCTATCTCTATCGCTAGGACTGTTGTTTGAGACTATTTTCTAAGTGGAATCATGCAGTGGGAAATTTTCACACAGTTTTGTCCAGGCATTGGTGTGGCTATCAGCTTTCATTTATGTGGGAAGAATGTGATTGCTGGGTTGGCTAGTATGGTGCTTACATATTTTGTTTTAGAAAAAAACTGCCCAGTGGGGACTTTCAGGAAGATGGTGCACTCGGCAGACACCATCCAGACTCTCCTCACAGACCCTAGAGACCAATCGAAACATTGAACCCTAGAGCCATGAGCTGCAGAGGAAAGAATAGAAACGTTGATTGGATACCAACTGGGAGAGGAAGTTGAGCAAGAGCTGCGAGAAAGAAGACAAAGAGGTTGAGTTATTGGCTGGCCTAACATAGTACCGCCATTTTGAACCTGGCAGCACAGGCAGACCTGTGGCTGGTGACAAGAAAGGTGCAATCCT